AGGAATAACCCTGTGCACCAGCACAGGCTGGTGATTGAACTGCTGGAGAGCAGCTCTGCGGAGAAGGACCTGGGAGTCCTGATAGACAGCAAGTGTACCATGAGCCAACAATGTGCCATTGTGGCCAAGAAGGCCAATGGTATCCTGGGGTGCAGGTCAAGGGAAGTTATTCTCCCCATCTACTCTGTCCTAGTGAGGCCCCATCTGGAGTACTGTGTTCAGTTCTGGGCCCCACAGTTCCAGAGAGACAGGGAACTACTGGAGAGAGTCCAGCGGAGGGCTACAAAGATGATGAGGGGAGTAGAGCATCTCTTTTATGAAGAAAAGCTGAGAGACCTGGGGCTCTTTAGCCTGGAGAAGATGAGAAGGGACCTTATCAATACTTATGAATATCTAAAGGGTGGGTGTCAAGAAGATGGGGCCAGGCTCTTTTCAGTGGTGCCCAGCGACAGGACAAGAGGCAACAGGCACAAACTGGAGCACAGGAATTTCCACCTGAACATGAGGAAAAACTTCTTTACTCTGAGGGTGACAGAGCACTGGAACAGGCTGCCCAGGGAGGCTGTGGAGTCTCCTTCCCTGGAGATATTCAAAACCCACCTGGATGTGATCCTGTGTAACCTGCTGCAGGTAAACCTGCTTTAGCAGGGGGTTGGACTAGATGATCTCTAGAGGTCACTTCCAACCCCTACCATTCTATGATTCTGTACACTCTATTAAGGCATAAGCATTTATGATATCTCTTCTGTGAATTTAAAAGTATGCAGATTATGTCAGCTCAGTGCTACTACTGAGCAACACAGCTCTATGCATAACGTAAGTTCTAACACCATTCCCTGAATAAAAGGTGTAGCCAATATTGTTGAGACGTGTTTCCACAGTAGAAGGTCTCCTCTTTTGGGTATAGACCTTTCTTTTGCTCTGTAGTGATTTCAGTCACACAGATAGAACCATCCTTCTGCTGCCTCATGAAAATTAGTATTGAACCAAATATTTTCTAAATAACTTTTTTATAATATAAATGGTATTAGTGAATTCTACTAACAATAGAGAAGATTATTAAACTTATGTCTTTATTGCTACAATAAAACCTAGCTCTTCAGTGCTAATGAAGCTTCCTTTGGGAACGGGTTGAGAGAAAGCAAACAACTTTATATAGCATCTATTGAGGTTGTTCATTGACTTCAGTTGTGGAAGGGTGAAGATTTTTCTTTTGTGTTGGGCAGATTGCTCAAGTGGATTGTGGATAGGTTTGATAACCCTGCCCTTTCTTTATTCTTAATTGCAAAAGTGATCCAAAACTTTGTTGTAAGAGATCAATGACACAGAAAGTAATTGAGAGCTTTACTTTTTAATTGCAGTATCTATCTTGTGTTACCCACAAGTCTTAGATGTATTGAAGTATATATTTTTTATATATATATATAAGAATATGTATAAATCTTAACTAATTTTGTCTAAGAGATTATTTTATCTCACAAACAACATTGTTAATACCACACATAAGAATTTCTTTTTAAAAGGTCATACTTACACCATACGCTCTGTTAGCACACTTAAAAGTAATTGATAATTTCTTTATTAGACAAAGTGTTAAGCAAGATTACCTGATATATTCTGGGCTTTTCTTCAGTTTTGCAGAAATGTATTTCATGGCTTTTTCTCCTCCAAAACTTGAATAGGTGACAGTTGTAGGATAATCTGTTTCTTCACATGCGACAGGGCAAGTGGAATTGTGGGTTCCTACTGTACATAATCCTTTTACCTCTATATCATCTGAAATTTCGATAGAAAGGACTTACATATTTCTAAAAAAGCACACAGGTTAAAAACTTTTTTTTTTTGAAACTTACAAAATTACTTTCAACTGACTTTGATAAATGTATGTGTTAGTTATCCTGACAAAAGTGAGTACTTATCAGTCTTGAAGGAACAAATAAACATTTGTAACTGGCATTTTGGAAACTGGTGCACAGTAATAAATGTTGAGGTTTTTTTGTCACTTTTTTGGAAGAAATTCAGCACCTGTAAGATTTTCTGCCTTCATTAGGGCTTTATGTGCTTATTATTTCTCATCCACATTTAAACAGTAGTACAGCAGAAGACTTTCCATGTTCTGTGCTGGCTTTCTGATTACATACTTAGGTATGTAATCATAGAATGGTTTGGAAAGGACCTTAGAGATCATCTGGTTCCAACCCCCATGCCACGGCCAGGGACACCTCCCACTAAACCAGGTCTTGAACACTTCGAGGGAGGGGGCAGCCACAGCTTCTCTGGGGAACCTGTTCCAATAAAGAATTTCTTCCTAATATCTAATCTAAATCTACCCTCTGTCAGTTTGAAACTGTTACGCCTCATCCTATCACTACCCTCCCTGATCAAGAGTCCCTCCCCACCTTTCCTGTAGGCCCCCTTGAAGTACTAGAAGGCCGCTATAACATCTCCCCAGAGCCTTCTCTTCTCCTGACAGAGCAACCCCTACTCTCTCAGCCTGTCCTCATAGGGGAGGTACTCCAGCCCCCTGATCATCTTCATGGTCCTCCTCTGGAGCTGCTTGAGAAGGTCCATGTCTGTCTTATGCTGGTGTCCCCAGAGCTGAATGCAGTACTGCAGGTGGTGTCTCACCAGAGCAGAGTAGAGGGGGAGAATCCCCTCCCTCAACCTGCTGGCCACACTTCTCTTGATGCAGCCCAGGATGCGATTGGCTTTCTGGGCTGTGAGTGCACATTGCTGGTTCATGTTCAGTTTTTCATCCACCAGCACCCCCAAGTCCTCCTCAGAAGGGCTGATCTCAATCCACTCATCGTGGAGGAACACCACTTGTTACTGGTCTACACTCAGACATTGAGTTGTTAACTGCGACTCTTAGAGCGTGACCATCTGTCAAATCCATGTCTCTCCAATTTAGAGACAAGTTAGTTGTGCAGGACAGTGCTGAATGCTTTGCACAAGTCCAGGTAGATGACATCAGTTGTTCTTCCCTTATCCACCAATGCTGTAACCCTATCTAGAAGGCCACCAGATTTCTCATGCACGATTTGTCCTTGGTGAAGCCATGTTGGCTATCAACAATCACCTCCTTATTTTCCATATGCTGTAGCACACTTTCCAGGAGGATCAGCTCCATGATCTTGCCAGGCACAGAGGTGAGACTGACTGGCCTGTAATTTCCCTGGTCTTCCTTTTTCCCCTTTTTGGGGGTTATGTTTCCCATTTTCCTGTCAGTGGGAACTTCGCTGGACTGCCACGACTTCCCACTTCATTTGCCAGTTCCCTTAGGACCCACAGATGCACCATTTCTGATTATTAAAATGAATTCTTATGGTTTTTTAATTGGCATCTATTTAATGCTCTGTCTGGTCTCTGTTTTCAGAACATTAAATGAACTGGGATGTACTCTGTTTCAGTACTACTTTCAGTATTTCGTTTTAATTGTTAGACATTGTCTATCATTTGGAATTGTCTTAGAAAATATGAATATGAAGTTATTACTTACAGATTGCTGGATAAACACAATTGTAAAACTTCAGCAAATCACACTCTATTCCATTTCCTTAAAAATAAACAACAAACTTCAGGAACTTCAATTGACAAACTAACCTTTAGCTCTATTTATACTAAACTGAAAAGTGATGTCAACAAAGCCTGCTTGCCACTCTATATTTAGCATTATACAACTGAGAAATCAATTCAGTTGAGCACAGTGCAGTGACCAACACCAAAAGGGGTACACAGAGAAAAGAGACAAGAGACCAAGCCAGGAAGCTTGCCGTTGGAGCAAACATCTTTACTACATGTGCCAGTCAGAACTACCTTCAAGCTTGTGTGTTAGCTTGCTAAAGCCAGGAATTTCTGTTTTTCCTAGTGGAAATGAAAAACAAAGTAGGGTAGATGGGATATATGATTACACCCCATGTGTTTCAGCAAAAGTTTTGACCTTCATGCAAGAGTCCTTTGGAGACCTAAAGACTTAGCTAGTACCCTGAGCTAACAGCAAAATTTTCAGATTTCAGATGGTCTCGGTTTAACTCTGAATTTTCCCTTGCATGGAAATATTACTTAGCAGTTTAGCACACAGTTAAAAAAGGCATTGCCCTCTGTTATCTACTATCACTCTGTAAAGTCCTCACCCTGGGTATGGGAGACCTAGACTTAATTTCCTTCTCGAATCCCTTTCCATGAGAGTTTCCAGGAGATTGTCAACCTCCTTTCCAAAAGGTTGTTGAACAAACAGGCTAGAGATTGCTCATTAATGGGTCTTCCTTAATAAAAACATTCTGCCTTGCTTGGGGATATTTAAAAATACATTGAGTCAGAAATTGCAGGCATGATAGTGGATTTCTTGCCAACTAATCGTGAAAAAAGAGCTGTGAGAGCAGAGACTTGAGTTCCAGATCTGTCTTCAGAGAGAGGCGACAGTATTATTATTGCTTTTAATGCTGAAAAGGTGGGAGGGAGGATACTGGTCAGGGCTCACTGTTACTGTTTTATATTTCTAGAGTGATTAAGATGCCTGGATTCTTGAGGGGAGTATTAGAGCATACACCTGTGCTCTGCATTTCGAGCTTATTAGATAGCTCCATGCAGACTTTAGGCTTCTGCAGAGCCTTCCTCTGGTGCCAGACTCTTTCCATAATTTGTGTGGGACACCTTGGTTTCTATCTTCGAGAAATCAGTTCTCTGCAGCTGCTGAACACCTGCAAAGTAGGTTTTCTGGAGACTACTTATGGATCTAGTTCCAGCTCTTTAGGAAGTCAGGTTGAAAGCTTCAGACTTGTCTCACAGCCCTGAGGCATAATATTTTCTTTCAAGTTTTTTGTTCTGTATCCTAAGAATAGCCGATGACCCAGACACTGGGTCTAGAGCTGCCCAAATATTTTACTTGTTTTCTCTGAATTAAAAAAAGAGACAAATTTATATAACTTTAATTAATCCCAGCTGTAGATAACCCTCAAGCATGTGCCCAATCTCCTTTGTTGTTCAATAACAGGTGAGGTCTCCTAGCAAGATGTTTAATGTATGGTATGATGATATTTCTGAGAAATACCTGGAAGAATGAATGGCAAGCAGCCACACCAGTCCTGTATATACCGGGCTTTGTATTCCTGCAAACATCCATTAGTACTATAAATCTTGTGGTACTGAAGTTGTATATCAGGCTTGCACTCTCCCCATGGGTATTCTTGGATAATTGACTGTAGGGTAATAATAACAGAAGATATAATTTTTTTGTCTCTGTTTTAAATTTGGCTATCATTTTCTCACACTTTAAAGTGCTGAAGGAAGCCTGTTGAAGACATAAGCAGTAACATTGTGATTTAATTGAAGGCAATTACAGTTCATGCTTTTGGGGTTATAAAATCATCTCCTCTCACAGGTCAGGTCACAAAGTAGGACTGATCAGACAGCCTAGCCCAGAAGGGCAGTCCACTACACTTGGAGTCCACTAGGAATCTGAGATAACCTTAATGGTAATGGCTGTGTTGATAGGGAAATGCTGTGGTGTCCTTGCATCATATGTCAGAAAGACTGTAAGATGTTAGGACAGAAAGGCTGACCTTAATAGGTACAGATTATGAAGACCAATGATATGGAGACCTCCAAAATAGCAGTAAATTTTGTTGGTGTGTGGAATAAATGTTATTTTTAGGAATCAGTTTGGCATGGTAAATATTTTAGCTTCCTGAATGTCTAATTCATTATCATGCTTCAGAAGAGAATTAGAGATAGTAAAGACCAATATTTCCACTTGATGGACAAAGACCTTACCTTCAGCTGGCGGATTGCGACCTGTGCATGCACACCAACTTGTGTTAATAAACCTAAGCCATCAAAGCGTGGAAGTTCTTCAGGTGAATGGATAACAAAAGTTATACCAGCATCAGTATAACCAAGAGCAGGTTCATCAGTGAATTGTTCCTGATACAAAAAGAATTTTTTTAAATAGTTTTGGCTTTGCTTACCATCTGAAGCTTTAGCTTTATTTAAAATGTTACTATACTTTTTTTATTTAGTCTTGTATCTCTAGTCACGTTTTTGGCAATTTACAAAAAAAACCCCGAACCAGCCAGAAAACCAAAACTAAATCCCAGCCAAAACACCTCTACTCATCTATAATTTATTACATTATTTGTTGTTTATAATCATTAGCATAGCTGTACCTGTTGGACATCAAAAAGCAAATGTAAGCCTCTTCCAGACAAACTTACTCTTCTTGCTGGAAGATCATTGTGATTAAAAGTAAAGCAGTTTCCATATTCAGTGAAAACATGTTCAAAATCCTTCAATAAAGGAAATAGGGAAAAGTAAAATGAAAGATAGATTACTGAAGTTTCCTTAGTGAATTACAATGCAAGAGATGGACTACTGGCATTGTTTCGTTGTTTTTTTTCCCCCAAAGGCAGTGCTAAATATTACAATCAGAAAAGTGGTAATTGATGGAGATATTCAAAATTATTTCATCCCTTTCTATAGAAAATGAAGTTTAAATGAGAAATTTCACATTGTTTATTAATACCTGTGAGCTGCTCAGAATAATATTATGAGGTCCTGCTGGTTTTCTATACCCGTTACATTATATAGAAATTATACATTCAAACCCAACTTGTTTAATTTTCCCAGTAGATGTTTAGTGAAGTCTGCTTCAAAACTAAACGTTGTGTTGCATATAGAAGTACAATATTTGCAATTTTTTTTCGAAGCCATCTCATTGTTTAATATGACTGCATTTTACTGCTCTGGTTTTAGTTATTAGCACTAGTGTCTCTCAGTTAGAAGAACTCTCCAATGCCTTATTTCAGGAGATACAGCATACTAAAGGTTAGATTAATATGAAAGAATATAGGCCTGGCTTTTCTGTACATGTTTTCTGTTTCAGTTGGGAAGCTCTATGGAAGAATCAACATAAAAATGGGATGATCATATTCTCTGGCTGTTGTCTGAAATTCCCAAAGGTGAGCTATTTTCATCTGATTATTTAAAATTCCTGTGGGCTCTGCATATAATTACCCTGGCTGCCTACATTCTTGACCTCAAGAACAAAACTACACAATCACATCATGCAAAAAACTCCATTCAAACTGACCTTTGTTTTAGGCCATTTATGGAAAAGGTTGTTAGATACAGCCTGGAGGTATGAGAGCTTTCAAAGGCTGCTATCTGTGCAGAAGTGGCACTAGGCAGAGAGCAATTTAGACTGAAATCCCATTTTACAGCTCAGGGAGTCCAGCATGCTGCCTCTGCTGTCAGTGGGAGAATCAGGGTCCTCAGGGTGATTTAGAGCAGGACTTTTTTTCCTCCATTGGCTGACTGTAAAGGGAAAACAGGGGGAGTAGCTGGCAAAGCTAGATGTCTCAAGCTGAGTGGTAAGACTACATTCCCTTCCCCTCCATGCTACTGTTTTAGTAAATTAAATGTATTTACCTGTGGGTAACATGGCTTTCCAAAAAATTCACATTTTAGCAATGTGCTGCTGTTCAGATAAAACCCATTTTTCCTTGTAAACTCTTTGATGCTGAAGTTCTGGTTCCCAAGAAGGAAGTCATTTAGCTCTTGAGAATATTTATCTTCCATAGCAAATTTTTTAAGAACTCCAGACACGATGTTCCAAATTAAAAAAATTATTTTGAGGTTGCTTACTGCATGAGCTTGAAACCTGTCAGTGGGAAGGAGAAAGAATTGCTTGGAGTTCTGCAGCATTATAGGACTGCTCTCAATGCTTCTTTTGCCAAATCTGTGACATGATGTGTTGTCTGCAAACTAAAAGTGATTTTTGCCCACCACATTGCACTTCAGTCTCTAAAACATGAATAAACCATATAGTCTCCATATCTAGGAAGGTATTTTCCATATGTGAAAACAGAAAATAGACACCTTCCCATGGCTATTCTGGTCAGTCATAACAGAACCATTTCTGTTGTGTTGGCATAAGCCAACAACCAGGTTTGTAGAACTGATTACAAGCTGAACAACTGCATCTACATGCAGGAAACTAGCTGAGAGGAGCCATTCCTTTCCATCATTTAGGAAATCCATTTCTAAGTGCATTTGCAGTAGTCTCATACACCTGCTTTAGTAAGGCACTACACCGCAGTATAGAGACAGTCTACCTTCCCAAGAACTCTGTGGCTGGTGACACAGTGGTATAAACTAAGGGTGATCACCACTCCTAGAATCCACTTGAAAAATCTCAAAAACATGATGAGGCATTGGAGGTTCATTCCTGATGTATAGCTCTGAAATCCTTTATTGAAGTGAAGTAAGGGTTTACAGAACAGTTACGAGTTTGAAAACAGAATAAACACAAATAAAACTACAATGACACATTCTTTAGAATTGCCATTTTATGTAATCCTATTTAAAAAAAAAAAAAAAGTATTTGTATAACAGATCTTAATGCCCCAACTTAACGAAGATTGCTAGGAACAACTCTTTACAACTGAATTTGAGCCAAAACATAAAGACAAGTGTAGATCTGTGCCTCTTTTCGTGCCAACAAAAAAATGGTTATTGAAAATAGGAGGGCAGGATAAGCACAGCACGAACAACAGATGGATGTGGCAGCAAACTGTTGCTTAGGCAGACAATTGCTGTGCTCAGTAGCTGACTATTTACTTACTATGTGCTGCTGCTATAGTTATAAGTGAGGCATTTTTACAACAGACAGCCCACTGCAATCAAGAGGGTCTTCTGTCCACAGAAATGCCCAGGATGGCTTTATGGAGTACAATGGGAAGGAGATGTAATGAGGTAGAGTGGATCCAGATATTCGAGACTTGGACTTCTGGCTGATTCTGCCAACAAAAGGTAGACTATAAGGAAACTTACAAGTCTTGAGGAAACAATGTGGGTAAACTTTTTGTATTTCTAAAACTGTTCCTAAATTACATATATGATCTCAAAATCAGGCCATAGGTTTATTACATTATTTTCAAAGTGGCTGCATCTGCATCTTGGCCATTATTTTCAAATGTAGAAATCTATAGTTTTTAGATACATTACTTCCAAACAACCCAAATGCTTCCCCCCAGCAAATCCCACTGACATCAGCTGGAGCCGTAAACACTGAGCACCTCTTAAAAAGAAGTATTTCCCCAAGATTTCTACACGTCTATGAGGTTACTATTTGAATCTATTTGCAAATCTTGCATTTTATTTTTAACTTGGATGGGACTGCTGACTGTCCCTTAGTTACACTGTAGAAGCAACAGTCATACATAGAACACCACTACCAGAGAGATTTTTCTACTCCAACTCATGTTTTTAAACTTAAAAATATGTAGCACGATTGTTCATCTGAAGGAGGGGGAAGATTAAAAGAAAACAACCTTCCTTCTTTGAATCTTGTATTTTCCTCTTCATTTGAATCTCATGCAGTGGTGTGGAATACATGCCTCTCAGAGCCCTATTTTCCTTGCTTTATGTGATTTGTTCAAGGAAGTTGTGGAACCTGATTGCTTTCAGATAAAAAGGTGTTGCCTCTCAAGAGCAAACAACAAATATAACTTTTACCTGTTCAAGTTGCAAAAAGTCACAGCAGGGAATTTGACCTTTTCCACATACTGAACTACCACTGTAGTTGTGGTTGGCCAGCTGAAATAGTAGATGAAGCGACTGCAGATTTGCCAAACAACAATGGCAAGACAGCCTGTGACTACTAAGAGCCACAGCACTTTGCGAGTCTTGCTCTGCGTTTGAACAATGTTATGCACTCCATGAAATGAAGTGGATGCGGCAAAATCCTCATGATACTTCCTTCTGTCTTCCAAACGTGGCAGCAGTTTCTCTATTAAGTACAATCGTATCTTTTCCAATATCCCTTGATATGGAACAAAATGGAAACATATTTTTAAAATTAGCATTTAAATGGCACTTAAGAAGGGAAACCAAGTAATTTTGATACTGGCAAGCAGTTGTAAAATCTGTCTTTAATTGTGAATTTCCTCTTTAAGTAGTGAACTTGCTCTTGAGGGTGCGAGTTGTGTGCTAAGAAATGAGCTCAGTGCTGCCTGAGAACAGACTATATCTTGCAATATTTTAAGCACACAAATTTTTAAGTACATTAATGTAAAAGAGTAGTTCTACTTCTGTGGAAAAATTGGATTTTGATGTGATCTAAAACCACAGGTTGCTGTGAACCTACTGTAAAAAGCGAAGCACCTGATTTTTACAGTAGCATCCGATTAAAGGCCTGTTCCTTCATACTTGCTCTGAGAAAGAAAGTAAAAAGCAAATTATACGGAATAATATGAAAAAGAATTTCACTCTTTTGCTGTTAAAAGTTTCTGGATAAAACTTGAAAGGTTACAGGTTCAAAAGGCGATCTACCCTTTTTTTTTTTTTTTTTTGGTTTTGTACTTGTCTGATACCATAACTTTGAAACAGGAATGTCTTGTTTTCATTTACCCTGTGTTTTCTACAAACTTAAGTTAAAAAAGGCTAACCAAAACATTTTAAAATCTCAGTTTAAGAGCTAGAACAATAATAAATATAATAAATACTTCGAAATGTAGTAATTTTCTTATGCTTGTTACTGGGTGCTCTTTTGAGCATGGATTTGAACAGAATGTTCTCTCTCAAAACATCCAAACAACGGAGACTTAATAAGACCTTTCCTGTATCTAGTCATAATTGGACCAGTCTCTACTCAAAGTGCTTCATTTACAGGTTGTTACCCGCTACTTTATTCTCTCATTAAGAAAGTCCATGAGAACAGTAAATCAAAGGAAGTTTGTTAGACAATAATAATTAGTATCTGAAAAGCTATTATTTCAATCACTGTTTAACAGCAATTAAATGCTTCCCTAATTCTGTTTTTTTAATGAAAAAATAGATTTAATAGTGTAGCATGTGTGGTAGGAAGAGAATATACCTTTGTAAGACCGATTTACTTGAGACTATTACAGTTGGGTAAAGGAAAAAAAGGATGTAAGAGTCATCTGCCAAAGCTATTGTGACCACATCGGCACTCTGGAATGCTGGTTTGGTCTCTGCATAGTCTCTGGACTGTGATAATGAAATCCCAGATGGTGCTGGATTTCAAAACATTTCTGAAGGGAAAGAATTTTTTTTTTATGTTGTTCTTTAAAGATCTATATAAGAACTTTTTGATCAATACTGGTATAATTTACTGTGATCCCTTTTTAGCATCAAACAGTTTTCTGCTGGCAAACTGCTCGAAAGTTTCTCTCCTAGCTCTGGTGACTATTGGATCCCATTGCAAAGCTGCTCAACCACGTGAGCTTTTGTACATCACACTGGAATGGAGTAGATTTCTGGTTTTGCTGTAGGCTTCTCTCTCACCAGCACATTTGCAGTGGGACAAGCACTTGGCGTGTTCCCCGAACAACAGCAAAGTTTGTTCCTAGCATGTGTCTGCATCTGCTGCCCTTAAACTCCAACAAGAGACCACAAGCAGGTCAGACCCTTTTCTCCAGGGAAAGTGTTGTGTGTGTTTATCATAGAATCATAGAATAGTTTGGGTTGGAAGGGACCTTTAAAGCTCATCTAGTCCAACTGCCCTGCAGTGATCAGGGGCATCTTCAGCTACATCAGGTTGCTCAGAACCCCATCCAACCTTTCCTTGAACATTTCCAGGGATGGGGTTTCTGCCACCTCTCTGGGCAGCCTGTTCCAGCATTTCACCTTTCTTCCTTATATCTAGCCGAAATCTGCCCTTTTTCAGTTTGAAACCATTACTCCTTGTCCTATTGCAGCAGACCGTGCTAAAAAGATTGCCCCCACCTTTCCTGTAGGCCCCTTTTATGTACTGGAAGGCCACTAGAAGGTCTCCCCGGAGCCTTCTCTTTCCAGGCTGAACAACCCCAACTCCCTCAGCCTGTCCTCACAGGAGAGGTGCTCCAGGCCTCTGATCATTTTTGTGGCCCTCCTCTGGAATTGCTTCAGCAGGTACATGTCTTATGCTGAGGACTCCAGAGCTGGATACAGCACTCCAGGTGAGGTTTCACCACAGCAGAGTAGAGGGGCAGAATCACCTCCCTCGGCCTGCTGGCCACGCTTCTTTTGGTGTGGCCAGGATGCGATTGGCTTTCTTGGCTGTGAGCGCACATTGCTGGCTTGTATTCAGCTTTTCATCCACCAGCACCCCCAAGTCCTCCTCTGCAAGGCTGGTCTTGATCTACTCATGGCCCAGCCTGTATTGATACCGGGGTTGCCCCAACCCAGGTGCAGGACCTTGCACTTGGCCTTGTTGAACTTCATAAGGTTCACACAGGCCCACCTCTCAAGCTTGTCCAGGTCCCTCTGGATGGCATCCCTGCCCTCAGGTGTGTCAACTGCACCACTCAGCTTAGTGTCATGTGCAAACTTGCTGAGGGTGCATGGGGTCCTGCTATGTCATTGATGAAGATATTAAGGGGCACTGGTCCCTGTACAGACCCCTGAGGGACACTGCTCATCACCAATCTCCATCTGGACTTTGAGCCATTGACCACTACTCACTGGATGTGACCATCCAACCAATTCCGTATCCACCAAACGCTTCACTCATCAAATCCGTATCTCTCCAATTTAGAGAGAAGGATGTTGTGTGGGACCCTGTCAAAGGCCTTATGGAAGTCCAGATAGACGACATTCATGGCTTTTCCCTTGTCCGGTGATGTAGTCACTTCATCACTGAAGGCCACTGGGTCGGTCAGGCAGGACTTATCCTCCTGTACACACTGTGCTTGGTAAGAGAATGATAGCATAGGCCTACATAAGTCCCCTGCCATCAAAACCCACTAGTTAGCTTAATCAACAGAAGTGCAACTTAGAATCTATGCAAATATGTAACTAAACTGTATTTCAGCTCTTGTGCATAGCTACTACAGTAAGTATACATGATGTTTTAGCTGATTGCAGAAGTTTTACTGTTAATGTGTAAGATTATCTAATATCATACTGCTGCTTTCACTGTTTCATCAGATGAATTAGCATTAGTAGATGAGTGTCTTTAAGAATCCTTATTCTACTTTCAGATTTCAATAGAAAATGCTATAATTTAAAAAAAAAAAGTAGAAAGAAAGAAACAAAAAAAGATTGCTAACTACTCTATGTAGAATCAAGTGGTAAATTTCTAGTATGAAATTGCTCACATGTGGTGGATTGGAAAATAGTGTGAAACGTGTAAGTAGGGACTAGCCATTCATTTTGGGATTTGGTCTGTTTATGAGGAATAGGTACATTCCAGTAATATATAATTAATAATAGAATGGTTATTCCAGGTCTCAGTTAATGAATAGCAAAACAATACACCACAATAATGGGTGAGTGTGAGATTATAAACTATTAACCATTTGTCCTTAGGCCGTGTGTATCTGGACTAAGGTTGTATAACGAACACAACTGAACTAGCTGTCAGTGAGTTAAAGTGTCCAAGCTGCTACTAGATAGACAGTAAGGTCTTGCAAAACCTTAGACATATTAGACAATAAGGTCTTGAGAGTGCTATGTTGTTTTAGTAACAATACAAAGTACAGTCAATGTAAGCACTACAATAAAAAAATATTTTTGTCAAATAAACCAAATATTTATAGAAGATCCGAAGAACTGAAGATGGGTAAGTAAAAAAGCAAGGAGGTAACTAAATGAGAGGAATCTAAGTCCAGGAGCAAACCACATGTTTGGAGCCAAATATAGAACATGCATGTAAGAACTAGGAAGGTAGCTCATACATCCAGAATGGGCTGCAGATGCTTTGCCTCAGGAAACACTGATAACTGGAGAAGCCCCGAGAACCATCATGGTTAGTCAGATAAACCTGATTTTCCAGTCGATGTTGTTAAGGAAGAAATTACTTCCCTGCATGTATAACTAGGGATACATGGCCAGGGACATACTATTATACGCTTACATAAAAACATCAGAAATTCATAGTATCTTTAATGTTAACACTGTAAATTAAATGTAAAGGGCTTTTTAACTTCAGTCAGCAGGTAATTGATCACAATCTGTAACTACCTGTATAGGGAACTGATAGATAATTGTAATAGGCTCTTTGATCCAGTGGGGAAAAAGATGTAACAGGACCCAGTGGCAAGAACTGGAAGCTAAGCTCTTGCATAGCAGAAATAAGGTACAACATTTTAATTTTCATCTTCCCAATGTTTAAGTGTGATTGGATTTTCATTAATGAAGATATTGAAAAAGAATTTTTTTTTAAAAGATCATTTTCAACCAGCGCTCTTAACTGGAAGGAATTATTTCGGGAAGGTTATATGTGGCCTCTGTGCAAGGGTTAGTAAGTCTAGATAGATTTGTGATTTCCTCTTTGCCTTAATTTAAAAATCATTGAAGTATGGTATCATTCAGAGATGTAATTGCCTAGTTAAAACTGTGTTAGCTTTATTGTAAATGCATAAAGGATCAATAGCTAGAAATATTTTCTCACTTCTTAAGCAAGTGTAAGATTTTTTCATCTCTCCCTTCTTCTTTATATCTTGAAAATGTACACTACTGCTATTTTTGGACAAGGTTACAAGAGAAAGGAGATATATTTTCTCATTTTGGTTGTCAGTCCTGAAAAAAACTACAAGAATGTAACAAACCTCTTGGTAAAGCACTCTAACATGTCTAGTCACATACCTTTAGCATCTGATTGAATGAATGTCCCAAGCCCGTCCATGAGGCTGTGCTTGTTTCAATAAGGAACAAATGGGTAACAAGCCTCCTTATCACTGTGACCATTGTTAGGTAATGGCTTTTATAGAAAACTAAATGGGAGGTGATACTCGATGACACGTAACACTGGGCAATTTACCTGCCAGGGTTGCTATGTTTTGCCTTTAAATAACATGTCTGAAATGTAAAAGAGAAGATTATTTTTATGACAGGACCAGCTGTACATATTTATATACATTTCAAGCACATATTATACTAATAATAGTACAAGTACAGGGTTTGTTGCATCACCTTGCAAGTTTCTTTCTGTTTTTTCCTTTTATTTTAGAAAGACCAATTATCTTCACTAATATACTGCACTGTTCAGAACTGAATAGATTATGTTTAAGTAGATAAGGAGGCCTTCCTGCTTCCTTATGGGCAGTAAATGTCTGCCATTACATTGCCACCAGTGGCAGGATGCAGTTCATCTGCACGTTGAACAACTGTCTTCATAACCAGCTCCAGATTTCATGTTCCCATGGGCTTTAGCAAAAATGAACTGTTATTCCTGAGCACTAACCCTGTGGGCAAGGATGAAAACGCATGCAGAGTCAATCATTCCTGTAACTTTGTATGAAAAAGGACAGGGACTGCTTTTGTGTTAGATGTGTGGTATGATCTTGTTTGAAACTTGTTTAAAGGAAAGAACTGAGCATCTAATAGAAGGCAATAAAAAATACTAGCAAATTTGGACCTGGAATGTGCTATATTTAATGCTTTAGGAAATAATAAAACCCCTTCATGTTCCCTCTCTAATCTGCAGGGAATGGGAATGGCTGCTGCTTCTTTCATTCACTCTCTCAGTAAAGGTCCAGTTGATTGCCCACAGCATTCTTGGGTTTTCAGGTGCGTTAACTTTGCCTCTCAGTGCCTCACTGTCTAGTTGTTTGCCAACAGTTTTCTGACTGTGTTGTTCAAGCTATGAGCTGC